AGTTAATCTTTAAAGTGCATAAAAAGTTTGGATTACAGTACGACAGCTTATTGTGATGATTAATACTGTCATAGCATTTGTATTTGCTGTTTCGCTATTGGTCTTTTCGGCATCATTAACAGCTTATATATCCAAATATTCGGTGCTTATTGTTTGCCCATTAATTGGATATCTATCAATATTTTCAATAATTTTTGCTGGACAAAGTTTTGTTTCATCGCCAACCAGTATTTTACCATTTGTGGTAAGCTGAAAAATAAAAAAAAAAAAAATTTTTTTTGCATCATTTTTTGTTTTCATCTGTCACTTATCAACTAAATTGTTGTAAAGAAATGATGTATGAGAAAAAGGATGGATTAATTTATTTATTCCCTGCTAGTTTTTCTTCTTTCCTACATACAGAGTATTTATTTGTAATTGTTGATTTACAGTTAATTGTGTTTGGCGTCAGTTTATTGCTGTATAACGGAATTGAAGAATTAAGTAGTTTACATCAGGATTTTACTTTTCAAATTAACTTTTTAACATCACCATCTGTAACGTTGTTCTTTATCGGATTTCTCACTGGATTGCATCTGACTACCTCAAGTCCAATTTATTATCAGGTATGAATTTTAGCTATTATTTCAGTAACTTTGGTGGTATAACTGAAGCTGTACTGCTGAAGGAGCCAGTGGTAATCACTTTTTTTATTACTAATTTTTGTTTATTATAAAGAAATAGGATAATGGGAAATCTTCAAAAATGTTGTACAGAAAAGTTCAGCTAAAGCAAAGTATTTAATGAATTATTTTATCTTATTTTTCTTTTAATTTTTATGAACTCTACTAAACATATTTTTACCATTTAACTACAAAATTGCGTTACTGTTTTGCAGAAATTTCATTTTTTTTTTGCTTTTTTTTTTTTAGCAATACTTTGCATTATCCGATAAACAACAACTACGTTGGGCATTTTTATTACACTTACTTTTGTATGCATTATTTGCGTTTTGTCTAAGTGCTATATCGATACTCTATGAACAGTTTATCCCGGATTCATCACCAACTAATCTAACATTTTCTACGCTTATTCAATTTTTTAATCTTACCGTACCGCAGTCATCTGTATTATCTCTGTTTGTAAGCGCAGCTTTAGTACTAATAACTGTTACCTCATTTACATTTCTAATTTTATCAATATCTACCACAGTCTGGGAAGATATTCTACGTTCTTATGTCAGTCGATGGTCTCAAGTTCGCCAATTATGTGTATTGCAGGTTTGTTTCTTTAATCACTTTTTTTGCTGTGTATTTGGTCGTTTTTTTCAAGATTTATTATTTGGTGCTTAATTTTAGGTTGTGCTATTTATAACAGGTACATCTATTACAGTCCCATCGGTTGTTATTTTATATTTGAAAAGCAATTTTCTTACCTACTTTCCGAAAGCATTTTTATTCCTTAGGTAAGTGATTGAGGCCAGAAGATTATCCTAAACCTCTACTATTGTTGAATTGGTCTTCTGTGTATTTCTCAAAATACCGTTTTACGTTGGTTTACCATAAAACATTTCTTGCACTGCAATATATCATTTACCTGAATGAAACAATAGCTTGGGTATTATGGCAAAACAATTAGTTAAAATTTTCTCATTTGATTATATTTCTGCTTTATTGTTTATGTGGTCAATGCTTCATCTGATTTCAGTTCTATAGCATCTCCGGTAACTGCCATCACTCTCTGTGCTTTCATATACCCTTGGCTCAGCAGAAAGGGGGCCTTTATCGGGTTATCGGCTGGCTTACTTTTTTTAATCTCGATGACAGCAATGCGTTTCAATAATGTTTGGATTTATGCAGTTGATTCCAGTAGCAATGGAACAGGATTATCGGAAAATTATACAAATACTGAAGCTTATTTGACCATGAACGGCTCGTCATTGATTTCTGCAGTCTCTCAAGATTTGGCTTCTGAAGCTGCAGAAGGCTCAGTTGTTGGCGATTTTAGCCTATTGTCTACTGACTCTACTTTTCGTAGTGATACGATTTATGTTGACAGTCTACCAACATTATTTCTTCCTATTGCAGCATTTATGGTATGCTTTGCTGTTACTTTGTACTAGTCATCATTTAAAGAAACAAAAAATCTGGTGAAAACATTGATATTGTAGCTCATGTAATGCAGTAACAAAAAAAAACTAACAGTGGTATTTTGATGATTGGACTGAATTTGATGTTTGATATAAGGTTTAAGGTGACAATTGGCAGCGCAGTTGGAATGTCGGTTTGCACAAAAGATGAAAAATCTGATGGTTTTGACGCTAAACTGTTGATTAATTCGTTCTTAATTAAAGCTTTTTCACCACGACGAATGTCACCGGCTGGAATCAGAAAAGCATTTGTTGAATCGGAATCATTCCGGTTAGTGTTTGCATAAATGCTGTGTAATTCTAAAAACGTTGCTTAAAAGGCGGTAAAAATATAACAAGTTGTTTTTTTTTCCTCGTAATGAAAGGCTTACTTGAAAAAACAAAAATTTTTTTTTCCAATTTTATATTTGTTTATTTTTGAAGCCGCCCTTTGTATTTGCATGTACCAAAATTGTTTAAAAATTCAAGGTATTCACAACAAAGAATTGAGCCGATTGCAATTTGCAGTGAAGTGCGAGGATCGTCGGCACGATAGTATCACCGAAGAGTAATGAATGAAGTTGACCACGATAAAAGTTTCCCAAGCAAAGCGTCCGAATTTTTTGTTTATACATCTGAGTGGCTACTGCTTTATGAACATATAAGATTATGATGATCTCGAACTTTAAGTTCTTTCTATATGTAAAGTGCCATTATATGTGTAAGGATTTATGTGTGTGTCTGTGTCTGTGTGTATGGGGCGTTTATGTGTGCGTGTGTGTGTGTATGTGTAAATGGGCATGTGCTTTTTTTTCGATTTGTGTGTATGTGCATTTTGCTTCTTAAGAGACAGTTTGGTTGCTATATAAATCAAATATAACAACTACTGTATAGAACTGTACATGAAAAAAAATTTTAACTACACTGATATACATTAATATTTGCACCCTCTCTGTTTCTTTTCTTTGGCTGTTTTCATAGGCTATCATGAGCATCCAGTAACTTTTCGAACCCAAAACGTCTGTTTTGGACGCAATTGTTAAAACTGCAGTCTAATTTTATATGATGAGTTTTTTTTTTCTTTTTGATTTAAAACTGTCGCTTATTTGGGAGATTTTGTGCAGCATTTAAACAAAAAATTGATGAATATTTGAACAAAAAGTGCAATGAAACGAAGGAAAGGAAGATGGATGAAGAAGGAAATGTTGAGTAGTGGTGTTACTTAAACGGTATATGTGTCTGTTAATTGCCTAAGAAAAATGTTTGGCAGTTAAAGTTTATAGTCGGAATTGGTGTATTAATGTCCAAATATGTAAAAGTTTGTTTACTTTTGAGGTACAAAATGTCAAGAAGCAAAAAAAAAAAAAGAGTAAAATAAACAAAGCCTTATGTCAAAAAGTGAAATGAAAAAGACTTCCTGTTTTTCCCTCTATCCCCTTCTCGTTTCCTCCTTCTCCTCCACTATTTCCAGTTTTGAAGGGATGTAAAAAAAATGATTAGCCTGGTTTTTTTTTTTTTTTT